CATACCATATTTCATATCGCTGTAATTTACAACCTTATTTGACGAGGGGGTCTATCGATTTATTATAGCCGTGTAAAACAAAATTTTGGTTGGTTCGTAAGATTGTAATCAATAACTATATACTAAAAGAAACACCATCAATGACACATGTCATCTCCTGGTGTGTCCTTATTTATTTATTTTTTATAAAAAACATATTTAAAAAAGATCTTATACTAAAATAATGACTATTTTTATTAATATAGTAATTACTTAAAACTGAAGATTTAGTATATTCAGTATTTTTAAATATACAAGATTGACAACTATAAATAAAAAAATACTCTATATCGGATTTATTTCAATATTTTTTTCCCTTCCCATTTATTTCATGTTATAATTATGGAAATTCTAAATAAGTTGTTGATTTTAACAAATATTACAAAAACCAATATTTAATTTGATTAAAACAAGTATGACTTCATAGTGCGATTTCCACTTGCCAATTTTTTTCCCTGCATGTTCTACATTATTTTTATTTATTATTGTGTGAAATAAGGTTTGAAGTATGAAACATTATACCCCTCTATTTTGTAATTGAATTAAAACCACACATGCATTGAGACGGTAGTATTTATATGACTATAACTAAATTCATGTATATATCACAAACATTAGTCAATGTGGTGTATGTAAATTATGCAAAAGTTAAATTGAGAAAATTGATAGAGATTCTTATATTTAATTGGGTACAATGTATACCGAAATTGCTTTTTACTCATTTTGATAAATATTGTTCATTGAAGTATCAATTGAGCAAGAAACACTTTTGGGTGTATTTTGCTCCTTTGTGTAAACAATAATTTTCATAAAACTAAAATATTGATACGTATAAGATGTTTTGTTATATATTGTCAAACTGATTAATATTAACTTTCACAATAATCGTGCATGGCACAGGATTTAAACTGATTGAAATATTAACCTCTTGTTCGATCCCGCACAAAGTTTTATCCATGAAACAACTTTATAGCAATCCATGCAATAAAAAAGCAAATCCTCCCTCAATAGAGAAAATAAAACCTGGTATTTTGAAGGAGCCAAAACCTCCTAAGAAGACGAAAAAACCACGTCTTTCGAGGGAGAAATATTCCTCCTAAGACCTTGCTTAGATTGGGAGTAATATATTAATGGGGTAGTAAAAGTCAAACTTGAAAAAACATAAGTAATTAGAGGTAGGTGTTGTAAGAGGCATATTGTTTACAAATGAAATAATATAATTGTGCCATGAGGAAAAGAGAGATGAAGGAATTATTACCCTCATAATGAGGGTAATAGTTACCCACCCTCCCCCTAGTGTAACTATTACCCCCAAAATGAGAGTATTAATTCTTTTTTTTTTCACCTTATACCACACCATTACTACATAATTTTCTTTACAATCACATCATCATTATCTCCTCCTTCCCTATTTTCACTTTTATTTTGCTTACTTTGACTTTTATTACCCTAGTAATATATCTTCCCCAATCCAAGCATGCCCTAAAAGAGGAAGAGTTATTATAAACCTAAAACAAAATAAAAAGCACACCAAAACAACGATCGGGGCTTTTCACCGATAAGTAAATCCTAATTTGTCAATGTATATTCATAAATACCCGTATCACTGTATGGATGATTCCTACACATCTCCCAACAAAATTAAAAAGAGGTAGGAAATCCTATGTCAGCCAGCAAACCTATTACATGTACACCATACCTCAAGTCCTACAAACACAGCTACAAAAGTCATTTGCTCTTTGTTCGACTAACCGGAAACTCATCTTCTGATTTTCTATTCCACATATAGTTTGCAGCTTCAAGCCACCTTGGATGGACTAAAAATTTGCCATGCTGAAGTGCCCAACGCGACTTATCTGTACCAGCATCAGTTGACACAACATGTGTAACGGAGGAATCAACTTCAATGGAGCACTTTGCTCCTAACTGTTCAGCCATCTTCCACAGATGGTGGTTTGCAGCTTGGTATTTTGTTGAAAAAACTCTACTGAATACTATCTTACAATCTTTGAGGACCTCCTTCCGTATTTGTTTCAAAACCTGCACCATCAATATGATATTCACTTAATTTGATGGTGGTGAGATTCAGGTTAATAACAAAATCATATCAAAGGCGCCAGCAAAGAAGCTCAATTAAATTCTTCAGAAAAAGTCTAGAACATTTAATAGCATCATCAATGTAAATGTTACATTGTTATTCTTGATTGACACATACTCACATACAATGCACATGATCAAATTATTGAACTCTCAAATATTTAAATCAACTTACAAGAACAAAACTATGAGGGACAATCAATATATGACATTTCATTCTTAGAGGCTAAAGAGGAAACTACAAACGAGACAAAATTTTGAAACCATTTTTAAGATAATAATGATGGTATTTTCTTCAGAATTGCAAGATCATATGAAATATAATTTAGAGTAACAAGGTTAGACTAACTAAAATCAAATCATTGCAAAGATCAAGGGATGGTGAGAGTACTAAACAGGAAAATCAAATTCAAACAAGGTGAAGCCATGGTGCTGATGCACTATGAAACTGTAAAGAGATGTGTAGACCGAGTCCAAGGTTGCCAAAAAAAGGCATACAGTGGCAGAATGCTGAACACTGGCAATAAGATTGTCTTATCAATTTTACATGGCTCTTTATCAATTTACGCTGATGGCATTAATCTTACTCCGGTTACATTAACCAACCAGTGCCAGCCAATGCACCTCAATGATATCCCAGTAAAACAACAAGTACTGAAAATCAAACACACTTATCTTGCCAACGTCAACAGTTCAATCTCACTCTCTACTACACAATTGCAAAAGGAAATGTAGATTAAGAGGAAAAAAGGGAATATTGAGTATCACACCTATGAAACTAAAAACATAAGATCCATCTTTTACCCCATAACACGCAAAAGGAAATGTAGATTAAGAGGAAAAAAGGGAATATTGAGTATCACACCTATGAAACTAAAAACATTCTGACAAATCACCTGCTATTATACCAATAAGTAGTGATGCAATCCATTCCCAAATGGATTGAAGTTACTTCAACTCCAATCTGACTATACACCTTACATACAGTAAAAGATCCAAAAGAATCAGAAACGATGCTCTACTATACAGCTCTACTATACATGATGCAGAGAAATAGGATACAAATGCCTCACTGCATGAAATAGTCTTTGAATTTGAGGAACGATACTAAGAATCAGGTACATCATCTCATTGACTTGGCAAGGTTAAAAACCAAGCTAGTTAGTGCAATACAGCAAGCATCCAAGCATACTAGCAAGCTCAAGCAGATGAGCTTTCTAGCTAGCACGCACTTGATTTGTAAGTAATTTGACGCAGAGAGAGTATTAATTACTTACAACCAATATCTGCTAGGATATACTCAAAACTGAAGACAAGACAATTCATATCTCCCTTTGCACTTACACCCCCCACCCCCCCCCCCCCCCAAAAAAAAAAAAAAAAAAACCTTGTAAAGCAACATGTTTAAGCTCATTGTCGAAACAATCTACATTGACCCTAAAACCAAAAAACATATAGTTAAAGTGCAAAGTCTGAACATAATTACAACAGCTTAGGCGCTTAGCAGAATAGATCTTTGCCATGCTGCCACCACCATATGCATATGCAAGGGAGAAAAGCACTAAGACAAGTAAAATTAGAAACACGAAAAGAATAATGGTTTTCACATAACAGCTTACGTCAATAGCCAATTAGCATAATATATAAACCCCTGAACAAAATCAAAACAGAAGAGGCACATAACACAAAATAGGATTTCACCTGTCTCACATCCCTTCCAGCAAAGTCATCTCCATGTTCCTACAAGAAAATTACAAGATACTATGACATTAAGCACATTCAAGTAGATAAAACAAGCAACTATAAACAGTAAAACAAAAATGCTTACAGGATCAAAGAATTTTTCATGAATGCTTTTCATGACTCCTAGAACAGTTGCAAGTGCTCCATTTGCCTCATTCTCATCACCTTTCAACTCTGATAACGACTTACAATTAAAGCCAAATTGGCGACAGCTAGAGGAGAAGTAGTGATATCTTTCCATCAAAATCAAATTCTCCTTGTGCTTTTGCCAAACCTATAGATATTAAATATACCAAATTTTCAGGCTTCCAATATACACGTCTTTCAAAATTTCCATTCTACAAGCAGTAATATATATTAAAGAAAGAGGAAACCAGAAATTATGTTCACATTAGGGATGGCGATACAACAAAAACAAAGCCTTAATTGCAAAATAAATCAGGGATGGCAATACAAATAACAATTGTGAATACAAAATTCTGATCATTATAAATGAAGTCTTTAGTACCCCTCAGAACCTTATCAGATTCAAAGTTTAAAAAGAACATGGTTAGACGGACTTGGCCCAGGTTTAAATTGACAAAGCAAAATACAAAATTTTGACAACAAATTAACATTTAACAAGTATATATAGAAGATGGTTGCAAGTACAAACAATAAAAGATATTCTTAACAAATGATATTGTATATTTTCACAAGGGAGTATGTTTCATCTCTTCCATATGATACTGTATATTTTCACAAGGGAGTATGATTTATCTCTTCCATCAGTGTGGCATATGTTTTCCAGTTACAAATAAGCCGATTGATGCTCCATGAGTAGCCATTAGACAGACTACTTTAGACAAGAAACATATTATTTAGGAGAAGAAAGAAGAATACAACCAGGAGGCAAAAAGTCCGTGCAAACAATGGCAATCAAGAAAATAGAAACTCAAACCCTATTCAATGCACTTCAATCATACTTCAAAATTTAGAAATTAAGATGACTTGTTCCATATCAAAATATCCTACTCTTATTCCAGGTAAAACCTGTAATGTTGTCTTTAAAATATTCTGCATACGGTATAAGGGTAATTAAGGCTTTCCCAAAATGCTAAAAAGGGCCTTTGCGACCCAAGGGTATGCCCCTTCCTAACTGCAAATAAGTAAACAATGTCATTTAAAAAGCACATGTTAAGAAAATTTTCCTGTACAAAAAATTAATACATAAATAAATAAAAAAAGAAACAAGAGGTTTTCATCTGCATAAGTACATTGAAATAATTTGCAAACCCTGCAATTCAAAATATGCACCGCTAAGCTACGATTAAATTCTTTATATACCTTAATTGCTCCAACTGCTTTATCCCTAAAAGATTCACTTTGTTCAAAGACGTTCTCCTAAAGTTGATCTCAACAAAAAATGTGTAGTTAGGCTCAATTTATGAACAAGTGAAAGGAAGCTGCCCTAAAACAGCTAACATTTATGGCTATTCTTTCATTTTTTTAACTGTAACTTTGTAAATATTAGAAATAGTGGGGGTGCATTGTAAATTACAAGCAACTTCAAGAACAAGAATACATGCCAGAATTATGCATACCCACATAGCCAGGACGCCCATGGTTCTAATTATTTAGTTTGTGCCACTTTTAAGAAGGTGCCAACATTATTCCACACATGAAAAGAAAAAAAAAATGAAAATTTGTATTGGCCATTATAATAAATCCAATTTATACCGACAACAATCAAAACAACAGGGAAACTCATGAAGTGATATGATAAGACAACAATAGCACAATTAACATCAAAAAACAATTTGGAGACAATTTATAAATATATACAGAACAATACGATAAGGTGTGAAGAACAAGATACTACCAACTGAGCAATAAATTTAATGGAAGAGAACAAACTAGCACTTACAGCTTCTGTATCATCAAGTATCAAAACAGCACTCTCTTGACCTAATACCACATCCAAACCCTTTTGATGCCTTTGAGTGCAATCAGCTTGAGAAATAACTCTTGAATTAAAATATACACTCCCAGGATCAAGAAGCTTTGCCATTTCTATCGCATAAGGGCGCTCACCCATGGTATAAATGTACATTTCAAACAAGTTACTTGCTTCTTGCAGAAAAGTACGAACAAATGGTCTTAGCTTCGTCATCATGCGCATCATATCGAGCCGAAATAAACTGCCCTTTGAGATATCTATCAGATGTGAAGTATGCACATTAGATAAGAAAGGACAAACTCAAAAGGACCACTAAAATGGTTTTTTGGGCAAGATGGGAGAAAAGAGGAAATGAGGAGGGCAATATACCTGAATAGCCAAGAAAATTATAAGTATGCCTTGTAGACAATAAGACCAAAACAAACAACTAGCAGTAACGGCAGTATTAGCACCACCACGACCAAAAAAAACCGAAATAACAAGCAAATTATCCTGAGGAAATGATAATGAGACGGGAAGGCTGGAAGGTGGGGGAAAAGAGGGAATGAGGAGGGCAATATACCTGAATAGGCAAGAAAATTATCAGTATGCCTTGTAGACAACTAGCAGCAACGGCAGTATTAGCACCACCACGACCACAAAAAACCCAAATAACAAGCAAATTATCCTACTAATGATAGCTCAAAATATCAACACCAAGGCCTAAAAGACATCCTCCAGTTAATCAGAATCTGCAAAGCAACTAATACTATGCCCATTTGGCCATTTACATTTCTCAACAGGAACCCACATGAGATGTGCAATCTCGATAAAGGCAAAATTTGAATTGATGATTAGTTTGTCTAAACAAATACATCTTAAAGAAGACTTGTAAAATAGAGTCAACAATACAACACATTTACATGTATCTTTTATTAAAATAATAAAGAAACGAGGATACATATCTCATGCCCCAGAATGGATAGCTGACGGCCTGACGCTATATAACTAAAGTCAGACTCAAAAGAAACTAGCATAATATAGCTTGTGAATGCGCCAAATGAGAAACTTGAAGTCAATATTTTGCATGTCAGAACAGACTACAACAAGAGCAAGATTGGACAACTGTGTATACAACTATAAATAGTGTCCCATTTCTAGAAATGCAAATGAAACGTTGAAGCATTTGAATTATCTTTGTGATGACCATATGAAACGTATGATCATGTTGACACAATGGTTTCATTTCAAACAAAAGAAAAAATCATCAAGTAGCTGTCTGGATGCAACAGTAAAGGAGCTTTATAGGAACCAGCTTTAGGAGGGGGAAAAAAACGTAGCAATGGCAATGGGCAGCCCCTAGTGTCTGTCTAAAAGATTTGGAAGGTCAGCTATGAAGCCGTTTGGCTGGAATCAATCAGAACTGTGGCTTCCACTGCACAAAAAAATTCTAATGCAGCATCAAACATTAGAATTAGACAACTCACAGGACAGAGAAGATCACAGAATAAAGAAGACAATCGATAAATTGTTACATTGTTAGTTATGTGCTACAGGTGTAAATAGGCCATGCTACGACCTGCTTTAATTGTATGACCTTGGTTCAACCAAGTGTCTTGGGTTGTACAAGTTTTTCTAACCAAAGGCGGTCAATTATTAGCAAAAGGGGCCCATTGCCAATATTTTCCATTAGTGAAACTAAGACAGTAACACAGAAAGAGTATAAACGGACCAACCTTGAAAGGAGTCTGTCTGACCCTTTAAATACTCCTCTTCTGCGTTTATATCTTCTAATCGAGTTGAATTCAGCAATGTGTGATCCAAATCAAGTACTAAATACAGTTTCTTACGGCGAAGCAAAGCCCTCACATCAGCGTTGCGTAACCGTGAGATCTCATCACTACCAAGTCTCAAGTCCTGCAGTTGCAATTTCTAAGGATCTCAATATACTACAATAAACTTCTCAAGATATAATTCAACAAAAAAAAAACAAATAAAGGCTTTCCAATAGTAATACCATAGCACTACAGTACACTGCAATGACAATGCGCAGGAACAAAATGTAACAAGGGACAGATCAAATCCAATATATTCTTTAATTCTTTATACTTCTATAGACATAGCTCTACAATGATTTATCTTGAATTCAATATATGAAGGTTACATTACAAGCCAAAAAGTTTTGGATCATTGTGGTTTTCAGTTTTTTGGTACATGTGATCAACCTCGCTTGTGTGTTCAAATTGATCGGATTAGTGATATACCTTGTGAATGTATCCGAATGCAACACCAGTACTGTCCTCCATTCTCTTTCCACAACAAATGCACATATCTCTCAGGAAACCCGGATGTGGACATGAATCTTTTACATCTTCATCTGGATAAATGATTCGGTATATAGAAAATTAAAATTCGACAATAAAATTCAATATATATACAAAGAAAACTCTTTTATAAAAAGCTTTATCATCAATTAATTCTAGACTTTAAAACAGACCTATCTCTACTTCAGCCACCACATAGGAACTTGAACTTTGCACCTCCTCTCCATTTACGATTTCCGACACTTTGCGCCTTTTAATCCTAATAATAAAAGCATTCAATAGAAATTAGAAATTTAAACTATATGCAGATTGATAGAATAGAATAGAATAACAACTCTGACAAAAAACGCTTACCCAAATTCATAGTATCATAAGAGCAATCAATCAAACTAATTAACCCTAAAAATATATGGCGGAAATTAAAAAAAAAAGAAAAAAAAAAGAAAAAAAAAAAGAAAGAAAGAAAGAAAGGAAGTAAGAAGAAAAGTTTCGTAATTTGATTTCAGATTGTCTAAAAAATAAATCTAGAGTAGTAAAATTCAATTAAAGAGGGGAACAAAAGATGACGCAAATAGTATACATGATATTACCTTTCTATCTCGACGTCATTATCTTCATTAGCATCAATGTCTAGGTCTGGGGATTGATCAGAGGAGGCAGAGTCTAACTCAGCATCAAGAATTGCCAAAAAGTCATCACTACTTGATGAATTCACAGGAGAATCAATTGCAACACTCATCTGCAAGTCTGCAACATTCACAATTGCAATGAAAATGATTTAATGCCAAAAATCAATTGATAATCTGAGCCAAATTAACAATTATTATGCTAGTTTACCTAAAAATACTGATGACTGAGCCGAATTAGCAATTACGAAAAATCCAAAAAAATTTGTATTTCGACGAACAAAAAAACCCAATAATATATCAAAGAACAAAACTAGAGGTGATCATTGGGCGGGGCGGGCCGAGTTCAAACTGGGCCGAAGCTAAAAAATTTGTCCATTTCTCGGGCTGGGCCGGGCCAATCTTTGGGTCGAATTTTGTGCCAAAACCCGTCCAAAACGGCCAGGCCGGGCCAAAAAAATCAACTAAATATGCATAAAAACGCATCCCCAAACCCGTCCAAAAAAAAATTCGGGCCGGGCCCAACCCAATGGTATTTCCTGAGTGCGCGGCTTCAATGGAGAACTCTGAAGTTGCGCTTCAATAGAGAACTCTGAAGTTGCGCTTCAATGGAGAACTCTGAGTGCGCTTTAATGGAGGAGAGAGAAAGGTGGGCAGAAGAACAGAGGAGAAGAGAGAGAAAATGGGAGTGAGGGCAGTAGTAGCTGACCCTTACCATTATTATTGGGTTTTTTATTTTAATTATTAAATTATTGGGTTATAAAATAAGACCCTATAAAAGCCCTATAAAATAAGACCTAATAAAAGCCCCGTCTAGTAAAAAATTAAAGGGTCAAAACCCTTTACTGTTAGGCCCGACCCTTTTGTCATTGGGTAGCCCCAAATTCCATCCTACAACCGGTAGTATAACATGAGATATGCAATCATTATTGTTTTCGGGGGATTCACGTGTTAGTTCAATCAGCACGAATGAGTACTTGCACAAAGGAATATTCCTTGTCGAAATATTTACCTCCGAAGCTCTAAGTTAGTAATCGGAGGAAATAAAGGTCGAGAGGAAAGTAGAGAGAAGGGGGAGGAAATTTGGGTGCTGTGAATTGTGAATTGTTTTTTTTGGGAAAACTATTGGGTATTTATAGGTATATCTTTCCCAAATCGTAAGAACATGACTGGCTAGGGAATTGGATACTAACAAGTGTCCCGCAATTGGATCCAAATTTAGGTTCTCAATTTTTTGGAACCGTGACATGTAGGGTACTTTGTAACCTATTAAAAATATCACTTAATTTTAAATTATACACCAATTCTAACTTTTTGGGTCTTTCGCTAATTTGTCCTTTCTCTTTTCACGTTCCTTGTTTTGGCCCTCTACGAGAAAATTTGTAAGAAAAAATCTTATGAAAGATCCATTTTGCGAGAAAACACCTTATATATATATATATTTTTTTTTTCTTTTTTTGTGAGATGTGACTTAAACTTAACAAATTTTACAATATGAAACCTGATGGCACTATTCCAGCGTTGACCTTGCAAGTTTTATTAGTGAAAATTCTAATTCATTAACCTAATCTTAAAAAAACCAACCCTTAAATTCCATTTTCTTCTTCCACCAACCCAACCGTAGACCTTGAATAAGCTCTAATAATGGACTTTAAAACTTGGTTTATTAATTTAATTACATTGATTAGGGTATATGGTCCACGCCATTAAATTGCAGTCAACGGTAGAAAACTCGCCTGGGGTTTTATCTTGCAAAAAATTCTAAGTTTAAGGTTTCATCTCACAAAAAAAAATTATAAGGTGTTAAATGAAAATTTTATAAGGTTTTTATTGATAAATTTTCTTGTCCTTTCGTGATTTGCTTAAAAGGTATGTAAATATATATTACCCGAATCATTTGCCCCTCAAAAGGACAATAATGCCCCTGCGCTAAGGGAAAATGGGCTTTTGACTCAATCCCTTTCTTCATTAGGCGGCGGTTTCTAGCTGATATTTCCACAACGGACATTTTCCTATATGCTCAAACTTAATCAGAAGCAACCTTATATTTTCATGGTAGAAGCCCAAGCAATCCAACAACCTTAATTGAATTACAAAAATCCAAAGATTAAGTGCTTTGAAACTAAATTGAGACAAGCCAATATCCAGATAACCTTCACTAGCACAGAAGGATGGTAGATACAATGTTATCTTAAAGTAAAGTTCCATAGACTAAGTGCTTAATTGAAACTGAATTTTTAGTAAGTTAGCAACTGAGCAAGTGTACTCCGTTTATTTCATTACAAAGAGAAAAAAAAAAATGATACCAAAAAATACCATTGAACTCCTTGATGTATGACAATCAACTGCTACTCTTCCAATACAAATATAATGAGTTATCAACACATTCAAATCACAATAAAGGCAAATTTGCAATACACTTAAAACTACTCACCAAATTATCACAAAATAAAATAAAAACTAATGGAAAGTAAAATTTCTAAGCCAATGATATCTCCATAAAACCACCCTAAACTCTTAAACGAAACATTTCCAATAACAAGCAAGCACACAAATTTAACAAATTTAGAATCAAAATCAAATATCTTAATCTATTAACATAAGCATCTTGCATATGTATTTTAGAAACAAATTCTCCACCAACGATTCTGAAGAACAAATGCAATTTTTTTCCATGCATGCTAATAAACCCTAAATCATAGAATAAGAAAAAAATGAATTCATACAATCAAGAAGATAATTTCTAATTGAATGAAATAAAACAAAGTCGTTAAACCCTTAACCCTAACCTTGAAGAGCGACGGTTATGGCATGATTTGCAATGGAAATTGCGCTTTGAATAGGTGGTTAGAGATGGTAGGCAGTCGAATTTACAAGTTCAGGTGGTGGTTGGCGGCGAATTGTATTGGTGGTGTCTTGGATAATGGTCAATTGAGAGAATTGCAGTGCTTTCGATTCGATGGTAGTGAAAACTTTGGTCGTTTTTTTAGGTTGGTCATGAAATTGAAAGGATTAGAAACAGCGGCGTCTCTGGGATTTTCAAATAGGGGTTCGAAATTTCGAAAGTTTAGAATCGTAATTAATAATGAAATAAAAATATAATAATTAAATATTCAATACACAAGTTCAAATCATGGATTGCAAATAAATTACATAATATATATAGAAAAAAAAATTACATATTTATTCTTCGAGTTTTCATACTTTGAAAGTGGTTCAATACATCATCATCATCACTAACTCTAGAAAATAAATCTCTCTCAAAGAAAAGTGACTAAATTATCATTCAATAGTTGATCACCCATACTATTCCGCAACTTATTTTTTTACGTATGTCATTTATGAAAACATTCGTTCCACGCTCGCATTATATATCATTAATTCATTATATCTCAAATTCCAACAACAAACCTACATGTATTATCAAGAATTAATGGTATATTCATTGATAATTTGATATTGATTTCAATAACTTGAAAGTATTTCTGGAATTATTCCAGAAAAGTGGGTTCCAACAATCCAACTTACAAAATCCAAACCCATTAACAAAACATACGAATTGCATATTTACGTACAATCTTTTTTCAGATTTTTTTTAGATAATAAAAATCAATGCATCATAATTTATTATCTAGAATTTAAAACATAAATCTGTAAACAAATTAACAAAACAAATAGTAGGTAAATTATAAGAAATTAAGAAGTAAAAATTCAGTTATTCACCTATAGAGCCACGAAATATGGATGAGTGGATGACGGAGCAGTGGAGCACCGAGAACGGAAGGCCGGAGGCTACGCCTGTAGGACAACCGATTGCGAGAACGGGGGCTTGAGCGGTGAACGGCGACAGCTTACGGGATGAGGAATTAGGGGAGTTACTAGTTAGGGTTTTACAATGTGGGGGAAATGACAAATGAGAGAATGGAAATGTCCAAATGAGAGGAAGTAGGCAAATGAAAAAAAAAAAAAGAAAAAAAAAAGAGTTTTTATTCGTCGCCCGCGTTTCTCCACATAACGCCCAAAAGTTTTAGTTTTTTTTTACATTTTTACCCTTTTCATAATTTTCACCCAAAACACAATTTTATCCTGGAAAATATACAGCTCGCGTGAATCATTAATTATACACAAAAAAAACATTTTATATTACATGAAACAAATTATACAAACTCATTTACGTAGGATAAATTAACAAATTACGTGCAATTATATAATCTCACGTAATTACGTGCAATTATATAATCTCACGTAATTCGTTAATTTTAATGAGTTTGTATAATTTGTTTCATGTAATATAAAATGTTTTTGAGGTATAATGATCCATGCGAACGGAACATTTTTCAGGATGTAAAATTGTGTTTCGGGTGAAAATTATGGAAAGGACAATTGTGAGTTATGGAATTTGAAATTTTGAAGCCAAAAACTCATCTTTGCTGGGAGGTTGTATATTTTATTTAACCTTTTTCGAATTTTTTTTTTATTTTTTTCAAAAAATCGGGCAATGAACCCCATTGGACCCCTACTAGATCTGTCCCTAATCAAAAATTGAATCCGGGTGATAAGGTTTAATCGAAGTTTTTACAAGCAAAATGGAGTAAGGGTTTGGGACTATTATCTTGGGGAGAGAAAAATATTGAGAGTTTTTTACGTTTTGGATTGGTTTTAAATTTTTGTAAATTCACGAAAAGGATAATAAGTTCGTAGTTTAAAATCACAGAGGAAACAGGAAGAGGGGAGGAGACCCAGAGAGAAAGTAAAGTGATAGAATAGAGAGGGGATAAAAATAATTAAAAAAAAAAAGTAATTTTCAAGAGCGAAGAGGCTATGAAGATCTGAGTGGTGATACATGGAATTAATCTAACTGCTTTGATACTTACACACTGTGCAACCATAATTAAACCACTAGGATGGTTTTTCCAAGTACGAGTACAGATTGAAAATTAGATTAAACTCCCATGCAATACGCGTTTGTTAAATAATTATGATGACAATAAATTTTACCAAAAAAATTAATATAAAGTACTATAAATAGACTCAATATTAAAAATTATGAATTATATGTGAAAGAAAAGAATTAAACATGTAATAGTTAAAATGGGCAATTTGAAATTTAAGGAAGTTTTTTTTAGATTCCGTACAAACTAAAAGTCATAATTTAGATACAAACCTTACTTTTATACGGAGTATAACAATAAGTTTTTTTTAGTAAGTAATTTTGAAGGGAAAACTTTTTACATTATGTTGCCAGGTCCCTCTAAATTCCACTTTTAGTAAAATGTAATTGATTATTTAGTATATCCCAAGTGGGGATGAAAATAGTAAAATATTGTTTAAAGTTTCCAAAAAAAATGGAGCAATTAATATTATGTCAGGTTGGCATGGAGCCACAAGCTACTCTTTCCTCGCTTAACCCATACATAATTAAAACCACTCATCGGAATACGAATGAAATAAAAAAGGTCGTCAATAGGGCAAACAATGCAACAGCTTCACCCCGTTGCGTGCTTTTCTATGGGCTTCCGTCTCCTCTGATGTAACCCCTGGCTAGTCCCATAATCATTGGAGGATTCTCACAGAATGCCCAGCAAAAGCGTTAACAACACTCAAACCGCCAACACTAACAGTGAAAGTCACGACATAGGGGCTCACACCAGTGGCGGAGCTAGGATTTTCAAATTGGGGAGACGGATTATGGATATAGTATGAGGAATATGGCACAAATGGCTTAATTATTTGGTACCCTAAGTATGAGTATATTGACCACATTCATTTGCTCACTTGTTTGTAGATAAATTTCTAAGTTCTCTGACAATTAAGAAGCTTAATAAGTTAAGAATGTTTTGAGTTTATTGGACAATCATTAAGTCACTAATACATTGGACATAAAACTAAGTTACGACATTTATCAATGACTATTGTTTAAGAGATTCTTTAAAATAATGTAAACAAACAAAAGAACATAGAAACAGATACTGTAAATACCTAAGGTATGCACCACCAATTTTTTTTTTTGTAAGTATAGTACTATCATTATAATAACAGAGAATTCGCAAGCTATAGGACAACGACCTGATCACATAGACTCAAAACTCAATAGTAAACCATGAAATTTGAGCTAAAAAGAAATCAAATGCAGTGAAGTGATCACATAATCTACCGCAAAGATAAGCTCTATTATTACCTAAAATATCAGACGCCGCCAAACTTCAAACATCACACACCAAATTACCAGTACGAGCCCGAATCGGACATCCTTGATACCTAAATTAAAACATAAGAAGCTTGGTTCAACAAAGTCTCTCTATATTGGCAATTGATGAAACAATAACAAGATTATATGTCATTAATAAAAAATTCGAAGCCTAAACAATCAAAAAAATTGATTGTAACAGCAAAAAGTATAAGGTAGTTGCAAAATCATCATTTCTTAATTTCCACATCATTACATAATAATAATGAGATTTAGAAACCTAAGATTCTAATTCAACAAAAATTGCAATTAAAATTAACAAAATTAACTAAATTCACAATGTTTATTATTACAATTGAAACATTAAAATCTGAAAATTAGGGTTAACAATTGGGGATTTCAAATTGGGGATTTTGAATTAGGATTAACAAGACATACTAAATTAATTAAATCAATAATTTCAATACATAGTATAAAACATTAAGAGATTTCAGATTTAAAAGACATACCATTGATGGATTGAGGCAGCGAACTGAGCGAAGAACGGTCGAACGAAAAGCGATTAAGCAAAGAACAAACGATGACCGAGGGCTGAGGGCTGAGGCAGCGACGGTGAGGCTGGCGACTGTGGTGAGGACGGTGACTGAGGCAGTGAAGAACGGAAAGCCGACGGTCGATCTACTGGACGAGCACCGGGAATCGGGAATCGGGAATCGGGAATCGGGAGGTTTTTTCTTTTCTAGGTTTCTTTTCTTGGGTTTCATCTGTTTCTTTTCTTCGTTTTAGGCATCCAACGCTTCTTTTGTATTTTTTCTTTTTTTTTAAAATTTTTTTTATTTTTAAAATGGGAGACAAGTGTCCCCACATGTCCCCTTCTGGCTCCGCCCCTGGCTCACACCACTTTAAAGATTGATTGGATCCAACTAAAAGTTTCCCTTCGACCACCTTGTTACGACCTGCCCTTCTTAGTTTTTTTTAAAAGTCGTGGAAACGCTCTTTTATTTACACATACATACGGTGGATTTAATCTTTTAGTTTAATAAGGTTGGAGAAGAAGGAGGAGATCTAAGTAATGAAGCAAGACAACTCCTTAATTGAATCAACCATTCAGTTTTTTAAGGCTTTTTTAACCGATACCTTGTGCCACTTTGGGGAGATCCTACATGTTTGAAAGTTAAAGAGCTATCTCAAGACATCCCTGAGATTATCTCAAGAGTGATGCTAAAAGCATCCTTGTACACGACTATATACGTCATGAATAAACCCATACACATAGATTCCTTTGATTTTAATTGCTCTGTTGAAAAAAGTTGGAACTTTTCAAGTTCACCAAAACAATGTATTATTTTCATGTTCGGCGTGCACAAGGAGCGTGCCTGTAACACCCCCAAAATTCGGGTCTTTGTAAAACGATAAGAGTAACCTTTTTACCTTTCATAACCAACCATCGAACCTTGGTCAACCACTCATCAAACATTTGCTTCTCACGAATCAACGATTCTTTTTAAGTATAAAGTTTTAAATTTGTAATTATTTTCAAATTTATATATTAAAAAAAAAAAAAAAAAAAGTTATGATTTATGGCTTGGCTTTCTTCAAGACTACTTATGAGTTTGGATGCATGACTACAGTTGGTGTTAATAACAATGAGCCGAATAACTATCTCAAAAAGTTTGAAAAAGTATTTGAGGTAGACTTGCTTATTGGATCCTTTATAATTTAGTTTAATACCCTTCTCACCACATTACAATCTAATAACCAAATATTTTACTCGGTCAGAAAGTCACCGTTCATTGCACTGTGGCTTGAACCCAGATCATTATTCTTTCTCTTCTGCTCTTACTGCCTCTGCCAACATACCCAACTCCAGATTTGGAAACCAGCTTCATGCTCATGCCATTTTCACTAAAATTTATATATTATATTAAGAAAAAAAATTAATCAGTATTATTTTCGGATTTATCCAAAGAAAAAAAAAAAAACTGATTTTGGATATTTTACAAAAACTGAATTTGAAAACTGGATAAAAAAAAAAAAAAAAAAAAAAAAATTAAGCTTATCTTTTCGATAGGAACTTGCAACAGACTCAATTTGAATTGAGTTTTATCTGATCTTTTGAATAATCTTCTAGAATAATTGAACCTAAGAATTCTAATTTATATCTTGTTGATACCGTACCTTCTTGAACTCACAAAGAATCTACCCAAAACCATTGTTTTCACCATCATCTTGATTTCATAAACTCATCTCTATCTTGGTAAGCAATTGATAGTCCCTTCGATGGTGGGCTTAAAGTACTTCCTTGATAAAGGATTAGAGTGGTGTCGGTGATTTAACTCGTTCATACAATTGGACGAGATTGTCGTACCTTCGTAATCAACCGAATTCGCTCTAAAGCAATTAAGGAAATAACTATTTTCGAAAATTTGATTAATTGGTATCGTATAAGTATTTTTTATTTATTTTTTTTAAATAAAATCTTCGGAATTGGTCGATTGATTATATGTGGTTGTTGGTCTCCAAGGCCTATTGGGAAACGAGTTGTAACTAGTATGTCATGTAAAATGACTATGTTATAATATATTAAAATTGAAATATTGTCACTTGGGATTAAATTGATTCGTGCAATACTCGTGTGCAATGTGATTGGACAATTTATTCTATTAAAATGTACATTAAATTAAAAAGGGAAATGAAACCCGAAAGAGTGAAGAACAGGTTGCCCACTAGTAGTTATGGTTGCTACTAGTTGGTTTAATTAACGTATATTGTTGTTTAGTCTTCCTCCTAATCAATGGGTATTAGTGAGGGGTGTGCACACTAGGGACATTCTGTTTAATGTATGGCCATTTGGGGTTACGCGCGACCCTCTGCAAAGTAGGTGGTGACAGGGACTAGTCCCGGCTTACTGACGTTCTCTTTCCCTTTCTTAATTAAAGTAATAAATTTTACGTGACAACTTGATTTTGGCTTATTATTTAGTGTCGATGAAATTGTGTCGTGTAAAATGTTTTTCGAACTAAAATTATTATTTTACGGGATGGAGTTGGAATTATTCAGTTTATCTGATTTTGGGGAGTTTTCTCTCTTTTCTTGTTTCTGATTTATTTTACACGTTGGTAAAAGGGTACTCGGTTACGTGTGAGGAGACGTTAGAATAATCACGTAGCTAAGACATTTTAGTTAATTCTGAACTTAGTTATTTTGCTTTTATTTAATGTTTTAAAATGTTTTGCGGTTTGGATATAACGATTATTTTATCCTTGTCGCCACTTAGATTACTTAGTTATAAAATGGTATTTTATTTTGCTTTGCATTTATTTTCTATGGAAAATAAGTGTAGCAATAATACTCTCAAGGTTCGATGGTTGGTTCTAAAAGGTAAAAAGGTTACTCTTATCATTTTACAAAGACCCGAATTTTGGGGGTGTTACGGTGCCCACGATCCAACTCCCTTTTTCGGGGAGGCCTAGAAATTTTCTTCTTCCACTTTCGAAAATAGTAGTTTACTTTCTTTTTAGTTGTTCTTTGATGCGAGTGTTTGAATCCCAACTAAATAAGAATAGATTTTTTTTTCTTTTCGCGATTGCTCTTGATTTGTATCCTAAAGCCCCTTCTTTCAGAGATATTAATAGCCGTGGTTCTAAACTTTTCAGGATTTTTAGTGGAACGTTTAGGATTCCTGCATTTTTCTTTTTTATGGTCATAATTTGACTTTCTTTTTTTAGTTTTTTTATTTTTAGCGTACTCGGGCGAAAATATTTGCACTTGTGTTTATTGATGTTATTCGGGCATAAACTCTACTATAAACCTTTATGTATTGTTATTTGGAAAAATTGCCAAACTAAGCGTTTTTGGGAAACAATTTCCCAAACAAGACGCGTGACAAAACTATTTACCAAACTAAGCTTCCAGAGTAAAACGCCAACCAGGATGACGTTTTACCCTGGGCATTTATTTTTTTTTAATTTTTAGTCAAGGATAAAACGCCATCAAGGGTGGCGTTTTACTGCTGGGCAAATTTTTTTAAAAAAACACATTTACACATAAACGCTAACGCCGTTGGCGTTTTACCCTGAGTGATTTTTTTGAAAATAATTTACCCCCCTAAAGCGCCACCATGGTTGGCGTTTTATCTCTGCACACAAACACAGCTACACAGCAACAGCAGCAACAACCACAGGAGCTGCAACAACAACAACAACAACCACAGGAGTTGCAACAACAACAGCAGCAACAACCACAACAACTACAACAACAGCAACAGCGACAACCCCAACAAGAGCAACAGCGACAACCCCAACAAGAGCATCAACAACAATCACAACAACTACTACAACCTTAACAACAGGAACCACAACAATAACTGCAACAACATCAGCAACATTAACAACACCAGCAACAACAACAACACCAGCAACCAATACAATGAAAAGAATGAATGCGTATGGTGAAGTTGATAATGTACAGAAAATGAACTAAAAAGGTTAGTAAAATTGATAATATTTATTTGGATACAATGTACTATAGAATCTGATTACAACTAACAAAAGAAGTTCTAAGATCCCGATTCATCTATTGTATGTAAGTGTTGTCTATCCAATCGCGGTCTTCTACGACGGTAGTACTGAGATACCGTTGTGAAAGGATCTGGGGCAGAGGTCTGGGGAGGAGTCTGTTGGCTGGAAGATGGTCCTTCCTGAGATGAGTATGGCGCAGACATGTGGATGGCGATATCTTCCTGATCATCAAAAAACAGGGGGGACCCTGTAGGGGACGTGTGAGTCTGTCCCCTACTACTGTTGCCTACCTCACGGTGTGAACGGCGGTGTGATTGGTCCCGGCCCTGGAAGATAAGATGGCCATGACCATGTCTCTGTAAGCTACTCACAGTCATTGCGTGAATGTCATCCAACTGCGGTATGGTGGGATATGATATGCTCAAGACTTCTAGTGCATCATGTATAGCAAGCATATCAGACGCCTGCATTAGTCAACAATCAGCCATTTTAATAATTAAAGAAACTATAAATTGGAGGAAAAGAAAAAATGACAAAAAACTCACATATCCACTGATGTCTCCAAAAGCTGGGTGGTAATGCGTTGAGGGTGGGGTGTAGTTAGGGTTGATGAAGCGTCGGGTAATGCTCCTGTACCATACCATGTATGGATCGTGATACTCCATCAGGCCTTGGACAGGCGCACCATCCGCGACGTGCTGCAGCCGCTGGTCCCACATGTCAATGTAAGGGGCATGCTGAACTGCCCAGTTAACCTCCCCCTTTCCTCGTCGGTCTGTCCTGTGCAACTGGACACTCGTGTCACACGGGGCGGGGATGGCTTGACAAAGGCCGAACTGTCGCATGACTCTGTCGGGGAGGTGAGCCTCCACCAACTCAAAACAGATGAGCACTGTCATGGCACACCACTCCATCTGGTGATCAAGAAGATATTGGGGCATGGCATCGACTAAGTGAGGGACGTACAGATCCCACGTCATCTGCATTAACAAGCAGTCGTTAACATCATAATTAACTTATTTAAATAAAGAACACGGTGTTAAATTAGTTTTTAAAGTGAACTATAACCTGAGACTCGCTCATTCTGTCGAATGCATCTCTATAATACGGCAGACCCCTTGCTGCATGCACACGAGTAAGTCTCCGCCCTAGCCACCTGATTACATGTATAATAACAGTGTTCATGACAAAATTAATAGAAAATTAAAACCATATGTGGATAACTTAACAATAAGTCATACATACCGGCAACCGTATGCTAAGTCCGGTGGTGGGTGTGGCGGCGCCTCATATGCATGCTCCTGATCGTCTTCCTCCTCCTCCTCGCGTCGACGCCTAGCAGGCATAGCTGGCCTACCAACGTGGATGTGCTCCCAAGCCCATAACTGTAATAAAAAAACAAAAGTTTAGTCTAGCCAATGTTTAGTACGTAATAGGTAGAAAATGGTATGAAAGTACAAGACTACCTGAAGCACAATCAAGGGACCGCTGATCTCCCATCTACTACGCTGGGATACTCTGCAAAGATGTCGATATAAGGTTGCCAGACACGCACTACCCCAGCTGTAGTCACGTATACCCTCCCAGTTGTTCTCTAACAGCTGTAGGTAGATCAACTGTATGTGACTACCACTCTTGTTACTGAATAATGATCCTATCAACATGAACAGGTACGCTCGAGCGTATCTTTGGACGACCCCATCATCAGCATCAGGAGGCAACACCCCAAATGTCTCTCGTAACCATATGTGTCTTAACCCTGTGCCTCTAACATCGGTCGCCTCAGGCCTCACCCCTAACACCCTCTCAACAAGGCCACGAGGGTCCTGTATAATCGGCCCTGTAACTGCCCTACCATGCACTGGGAGCCGTGTAAGTATCGCCACATCTCGGAGCGTGACGGTGGCCTCCCCAACTGGTAGATGGAAGGAGTGAGTCTCATGTCTCCATCTCTCAACGAGCGCAGTAATAAGCGCTCGATCGATCGGTGTGAAGGCCATCCTATGAAATCCGCCGAAACCCACAAAATCGATGTACTGTAGCACACGGGGGTCGACCACCCAATCTACCACCGTGGTGCCTGCAAACCAAGCAACGTGCTGGATCACCCTGTACAAGAACAAAAAATAAATTGTTTGATCAGTGAACCAAATAAATGCCAAACACAATAAATATTTGGTAGATGAAAACTTACTATCTGCTCCCATATGTCACGGCTCCGATGGGTATCCTGAAGTGTCAGCACTGAAGGGTCAGCTGGTCCAGGGTCATGTCGTGTCTGCCCCTGATCCTGTCCCTCCATGATCTCTGTTCAGCGTACAATGTAAAACAAAAAGTCAGCTACATCCTACTTGAACACATACACACAACATGGTATAAAAATAATACATAAACTAACACCACTACCGGTCACCGTCCGTTCGAAAAGGGCAAGATCTCTTATTGTGTCCTTCCTGACGGCAACGACTACATTTTCTTGGTGGACGGTTTGTCTCATCCATTTCATTTCGTATACGCTTCGACGGTGGGCGACCGTGTCCTCAGACCATGATCTCATCAGGAATGATTTTAGGCCCTCTGTATGACCTCCGCGTCGTCTCACAAGGAATAGGCCAGAATTGTGGGGCATAAGTATTTGCATACGCCTCTGATCGTAGGAAACTGTCCACCCACGGTTCCTCTGAAACTGAATACTTAAGACACACGGCTAGAACATGAGAACATGGTAGGTGAAATATCATCGGTTTGTTGCATGTACATGTTCTTAAATTAAAGTTAACGGTATGCTTATGACCCCCTTTTCTCCCTATCCTTTCTCCTCGGTGTGTTTTTACTTGGTATATACCAAGCTGACGGCTATAAACATCCACTGTATGGTATTTTGCCTTTCTATTATTCTTCTCCAAAATGGCGGTGACCTTAGGTGAGTATGCATATCCGTGAGCACGCCTAGCAAGTGAACTATCTCTGCTTCTGTTAAAGTACTTGTTAACTCTGTGGAAAGTTAACTCGACAAGGGACATGATTGGCAGAAAACGAGCTCCCTTCAACACATTGTTAAAAGTTTCTGAGAAATTTGTAGTACATATACCATGCCTCCGACCAGCGTCATGAAACAAGGACCATCTGTGAAACGGCACATCCGTGATGTACTCTAGGGACTTAACACAAGCTTCGCCGATAGAACGCATATCTTCAACCAATTTTTTTTCTTGGCGTTGGTATGCAGCAGCCTTGAACCTGTCTCTCATGTCGTTGTTTTTCACATGGGTCCTCAAGTTAGAGGCCATGTGTCGAACGCAAAACCTGTGAAAGGCCCGTGGCTCATGAAATCCAACATCTGGGTTAGTCATCGCAGCAATAATCCCCGCATGTCGGTCAGATATAACACATAGGCCCTCTCGATCAGTAACATGAACCCGAATGCAGCTTAGAAACCAGGACCAACTCGAGGTGTTTTCCCCTTCGACTATTGCAAATGCTAAAGGAAATACCTGAAAATTAGCATCAACACTTGTAGCAACCAAAAGTGTGCCTTTATATTTCCCATACAAGTGTGTCCCATCAATAGATAACAGAGGCATGCAGTGTTTGAACCCATCGATGGAAGGCTTAAAGGCCCAAAACACTCGTTCAAATACCTCCATGTTGCTGTAATAAACGCCTTCAGCAATAGCTTTGTATTTCCACAGAACTACAGTGCCTGGGTTCGACTCCTGGAGGGCTTGCATGAATGAAGGAAGTCTGTTGTATGAACTCTCCCAATCCCCAAAAATTTCCGCAATCGCTTTCTGTTTGGCATACCACGCTCTTCGATATGGAACATCGAATTGAAATTTGTTGGAGATGATATGTTGTATGAACTCAACTCTCAAACATGGATCTTTCTGCACAAACGACTTCACATAGTCGCAGATAACAGAGGAGTCCAAGTGTCGATGATATCTGGGCGGAACTTCATTAACACAATTGTCGCGATGTGGGCCCTTGTAAGATACGATCTTAAAGGCACGTGTGGTTAGATTTGTTTTTGTACCACGTAGCGACCAACCACACCCCCTCTTGCACTTTAAATGAAGGACATTCTCATTCGACGTCACTGTGGTGTAGAAATGATTTCGCTCTATGGAATACAATTTCTTCATTTCCTGTAGCGCTTTCTTATTGTCGAAAATCATGCCCTTCTCGAATTCTCCCCCGACATGAAACGAACACTGGCTCCCCGAATCACCCCAATGTATGTCCACCTCATAGTTCTCGTTTATTTGACTGAACCAAGGTAATGGAGTTCTAGCAACAACATCATCCACAGACAAATCGTTGTTTATAACATCTTCTTCATCTCCGTCTTCACCCTCGTCGTTTGTGTCATTATACATATCAAGAACAGACAACTCGTTGTTTACAACAAGTTCAGCATTCACCAAAGTCTGAAACGGTGGTGTTTCAATATGTTCTTGCGTAGGAGAGTAACTTTGTAACTGCATCGATGATGAAATGTCATTGTTTGAGGTAGATGGACCAGGTTGCTGCATTGACCCCGACGCCGTAAATTGTGAACTGAATGGAATGTCAAATTGATCGTCGTGTAACATTCTACTGAAAGAACCCATTCCATATTCAGATGATGGAATGTTATATGCGGGCATTTGTAGAGAGCTTGCATTGTATGATGGAAGAAATGTTGGTTGTTGAGTACATACAGGCACCGTTTCCACATACAAATCAGTAGGAAGAGACCTCATTGCAACGACACCCCTCAAAACCTCCAAATGGTCGTCATTCAAAACAGGTAAGATTTGAATCCCGCTAACACTTTCAAACCTCATTTTGATGTTCACTTCAACACTTGTTGGCTTTGAACCAATTATAGTATAAACTTTCTTCAACAAATCATTGTAAGTCATACAAGGTTTCAATGCTAGCGGTTCCATTTTTCCTCCTCTATACTCGACATTGGGTCCGACACACAAAATTTCACCCCCCCAACGGCATAACAAAACAATCAATTGTGAAGCCATGTTCTACATAACATCAGACCACATATTAGGTGACACATTTGTACAACTAAAACCACAATGATTCCAATAAATCCCCAAGCAAAGCGTACATACAACGCAGTGTTCAACAACATACTAACTTACCTACTTAATCTAACAATGTAAGATACATTTAAATGTACTTAACTCAACAATGTAGTTCGTAATTCCCTAAATGCTTCATATATGTAGTTCAACAACTAAATGCTTCATATAAATTATACGAAATTATACAACATACATATAACTATACTTAATTTCAATAATTAAACAACAATGTATTATGTAGTTATACATATTTCGCATACTTGAACAACACTATAGTACATACATTGTAAATTACAAACATAAATTCCCAAAAAACATCATACACAAGTAAAATAGTTAAATTCAAGACATACCTCAATTTCGATGAAAGTAGGGCGTAACAGTGTTGAACAAAGAAGGAGGATTAATTTTTATTGACTATGATGCAAAACTAAGCTACGGAATGTGATGAAATTGCTTCAAATATGGAGAATTGGAAGTTGGTATGCGCGGGGTTAGGGTTTGCAATTTGGGGGTTTGGTTGAATAATGAAGAACAACGATATATGCTGTTAGAAATACCCGACTCTAAAACGCCAACGACGTTAGCGCTTTTGTGTTAAAAGTAAAACGCCAACGGTGTTAGCGTTTTTGTGTAAATGTTTTTTTTTTAAAAAAATTTGCCCAGCAGTAAAACGCCACCCTTGATGGCGTTTTACCTTTGACTAAAAATTAAAAAAAAAAAATTGCCCAGGGTAAAACGCCACCCTGGTTGGGGTTTTACCCTGAAAGCTTAGTTTGGTAAATAGTTTTGCCACGCGTCTTGTTTGGGAAATTGTTTTCCAAAAACGCTCAGTTTGACAATTTTTCCTTGTTATTTTTGTCTTACTAGATTAGAATAGAATAGAACACCTCGATGCCAAAGTCGATTTGTCGAAGATTCAGATTATTCTTATAAGATAAAGGTTTTTTTAGCGGCAAATGGGATGGTACTGTTTCTTTTTGCCGATATGTTCGAATATGTCATTTTTTGTCTTAAGAACCTCAATCATAGGCAGTATTGATCTTGTAATAAGACATTCGAGATGCGGGAAGCTTGTTTTTTTATCTTCATTTTATACACAATTATTGCTATAATCTTAGGGTTATACTATTAATTGGCCTACAAGTCGAGTCCAATAGTCAAGATTGGCAAGAGTAACATCTTTCTTTTCCCGTCTTCGATAAACAATATCATAATAATCAATCCCCAAAATGGTCATATAGTACTACTACCTGTTGGGATGTCAAATATAACATTCCATAAACCTCTAATTGTTTGATATAAGTTGAAAAATGAAGTGTTACTTTGGCTCTATTTTTAGTGATAATGAGTATCCACCACTGTAGTCAAAGGCACCACTATAAGCACTATAAGTGGTATCTTTCTTTGTTAAGGCATCATAAGGATGCTTGAGGACACCTTTGGTGGCTCCAAAATCCTTGACGGACGAGGATGTGGATGTTGATCCTGTATCTAACCCATCATTTTGTAGAATAATCTCTATCTCCTTCACCACATCACTCATTGTTGGACGATCCGAGGCAGTTTCTTCAACACATTGCACTGCTAGCTCGATAAACTTAGTAAACCCAATCAAATTTGGAATTTTTTTGATGACTGGATCGATCATGACCTTCAAGCCACAAAATTCTTCGTCATTCTTGTCCATCTTTGTTCTGACCTCTCGGACAATGTACTTCCCTTTCTCGATTGGTTGCTTAGCAGTCACTAACTCAAGCATAACTACTCCAAAGCTGTACACATCACTCTTCTCAGTCAATTGTTGTGTCAAGTAGTATTCGGGATCAAGATAGCCCTGCAACATACCAAAACAAATTATTATTTTAAAATTGAAAAAGAAACCACAAATTTCTCCAGGCCATGAAGTCTAGGGGATTTTATTAAAAATTATGTTATACTATTGCTGATTGTGGAAGTATATGGTGAGATTCAAACATATGCTGCTTAAATGGAAAAGGTTAGGAAAAAGCAATCAAGTTTCCCATGGCTTCAAATCCAAATAGAAAGGATATGAGAACATTTTAGTAGGAAACAAGTTCTAAGTACAATGACCCTACCAGCGTTCCTTTGACTTGTGTAGAAACATGACCCTTCGCGCCATCAGAAACTAGCTTACACAAGCCAAAATCTGCAACCTTGGCTGTTAAATTTTCATCCAAAAGTATATTGGTAGACTTGACATCCCTATGAATTATGGGAGGATTTGCAAGCTCGTGAAGATATGCTAATCCTCTAGCGGAGCCTAAAGCAATGCGCAGCCTTCTCTTCCAATCAAGATGAATGCAAGATCTGCCTGCACAATAGGTTAAGTATTATAAGGTTGATATCTCTACAATTTTCACAATTATCAACATTTTAATAATGGATATAAAATTACCAGACAAACTATCTCTGAGCGATCCATTGGGCATATATTCGTACACCAGCATCTGTTCCCCTTGTTTAAAACAAAAACCCAACAAGCCAACTAAATTCTTATGGTGAACTCTTGAAAGCAACTCTATTTCAGTCTTGAATTCATGCCCACCCTGCATAGATCCTTGCTGAGCTCGCTTGATTGCCACATGTTGACCATCAGGTAGCACTCCTTTGTACACCTGAAGATCATTGCGAGAAATTAATGGATAAGAAGCCGCATATACAATGTTTTTAACTGGGAACGGTAGGGAGCATCAAGCATGAGCTGGTGGGAGATGACTCAAACCTTGCCATAGCCCCCGGAGCCTATTTCATTACGCTGTGAAAAAGTATTGGTGTATTTCTTTAGTTCATCATATGGAAACCATCTAGCTCCCTTTAACTGTGGAACACTACCACTATCTTTTCCACTTGAACCCCAAGACACTGCATCAAATTTAGCACAACAGAACGTGATTTAAAAAGAATTATTAAAACTGCACCAAACCAGAATTTCAAGAGGTTACTAAGTGAAAATTGCATGGTCTCAATAGCTTACCAAATGGTCTACTCAAACCAATTGCTCTCTCAGCACGTGTTTTCTGCTGTACAGCATAAATGCCCACTCCCAAAACCATTACCACAAGAAAGGTACAAGTAGTAGCAATTCCTGCGATTAAGCCCAAACTAACAGTTCTTCCATTCGTGGCTGGCAACCATATTCAAAATCCATATAATAATCAGTCTATGATTGACATTGGACATAAGACATAACTGATTGAAGATGTTGATGCTGATGAAATACCTGGGAAGAGATAAGGTGATGCGATAAAATAGTATGGTCCAAACTCTGGGGGTGGCTTAAACGTTTGATTACTAAGATCAAAGCCAATCCTTAGAATTTCTGATCGATTAAAGTATTTTTTGCCAGATGGAAAAATTTCTATATGAACTTGAAGGTAGTCATCAACGTTGAAAAAAGGATTTTGAAGAGAAACAGAGCCAGGAATTAGGCCCAATTTCACCCATAAGCTCATTTCCAATTTGTGAAAGGAGTTTGCATTAGTCACTTCCCTGAATGAAGGTCCTCGAAAGTACATAGTTCCTTCGTATGGATATGCACAATCACAACTCTGGGGACTTAGCTTCTGGTCTGCTGAACATTGCTTACTTCCACAATTAGCTACACTGGTTGAATAGGGTTTTTTTGTTTGCTGCTGAATCTGACAGTAGTCAGTACTTGAAAGTGGAGTGATGCAGACTGGGTTTCCGATCAATCTGTTATTAGATATAGCGAATTGTGAATGTTGGAAATCATGGCATATTGCTCCTCCAGCTGGAAAAGGAGTAGTCAAAAAAAAAAAAAAAAATAAATAAATAAATTGAAAATGCACAAAAACTTAATTCTCACATCAAGGAATTTGTGTATCTAGAGCTAAGTGTCACCGACGAAATCTTGTTATTCTCAAAATCAACAAGCTGGAGCTGTTGGCCAATGCTATTACCCATATCCAATGTTCCATTGAACGAATTGTTTCTCATTTTCCTATCATAATTTATACAATGTATTCTTTTAGAAAAGAAAAAAATAATTAAAAAATGTATGTTGTCCTAATGCCTATTTGCTCTAATGCTCCAACCAAATTACTTACACAAGCTGCATTTGCGGAGCACTGAATAGCTTTTGAGGAACAGGCCCTTGAAGTGAACTATACTCAATGATTCTGGAAATTATGTAAATGCCACATCCAAAATGTTACGGATTCTATAAGTGAACATTTTGCGGCTGAGAATCTAGCTTTTAGAAACATACAGTGTAGTGAGAGACAGTAAAGTTGAGAACCATTCTGGTGCTTCTGAGTCGTCAAAGGAGTTGTTGCTCAGGTCCCTATGATGATGAAAAGAACCATCATGAAAAAGGCTATATAAATTTAAGAAAATACACTGTATGTACTAAGTTAGAATAATATTTCTGCAATAAATTCCAAAGATTCCTCCTTACACGTAGCTAAGAGAATCCATCCCTGTTAAATCTGGCAATGAACCAGTCAGTTTGTTGTGTCCTAAATTCCTGAAAGTATGCAAAAGAAAGAAAAATGGAAGCAAAGGCTCAATTATCAATTATGACTTGTTACAGTTCAAGAAAAAAGCTTATTGTCGTCTAATTCACAAATCTACCGACAATTCAACAATATTGGTGAGATTGTTGAGATTAGATGGCACCTCCCCTGTCAAGGAATTCCGATCAAGCCGTCTGCAGAAAACAAAAAATACAATTTTAAAATATAACCAGTAAAGATAAAAAAACCTCCCTCAATTCTTTCCGGTTCTGCACCTACAATAAGTGAGTCAAACAAAAGGGAAAGGGGGGGGGGGGAAGGGGGTATATTATAAACTCACAGAACTTCAAGAGTCTGAACAAGTCCCAATGTGGATGGAATCGGCCCAGTTAGTTGATTTCCGTCAAAAAGTCTGTTCAAAAACGGAACCACAGACAATATAATTTAAGATGATGTAATGATGGTGTACTCATTTCTCATAAACAGAGAAAAAGAAAAAAATTAAGGAGCTACAGAGTACTTAAGAGACTTACACATGGATGAAAATCATCTCTGGACGGAATAGCTTAGATGGAATTGAGCCTGAAAGCCGATTTTTATTGAAGTGACTGCAAAAATTGGATGCAGTGAGTTCTGCCATTCTTGCATGAATAATTATATGACGTATCTATGAATTGAATGTTAGGACATCATTTGCTCCATTTTTGGAACTGCTAACCACCTATTGTAGAAGGGTGAATGAAAGGACATCCACGAAATACTCACAAATGTTTTGCCTTCAGCAAGAGATCCAAGCCTGGTGTGTTAGGTGTTGAGACAGGAATAGATCCTGTCAAGTGGTTGTCTGCCAGATCCAGCCAGTAAAGTTTGGAAAGATTACCTAGAGAGCGGGGAATTTCACCAGTAAAGTTGTTGGAGTTCAGAGCTCTGTATAAGATAATATGGTTACAGGAACTTACAATTATAATGAAATTGAGTCATATTTAGAGTTCAAACTATCAAAATATGGATGATGACATTGAACAATTCATTACAAGAAGGACAGCTCTGCAAGGTTGCCTAGCTCTGGAGGAATTTTACCACTGAAACCACAGCCTGCCAAGATCCTGCATTGAACATTAAAATATTAATCCTAATCCCAGGTTGAAACTTCTGCAAGAAGTATGTATACTATTATATAGTGATCAAATGCTTAAACTAAAGCAATCTTAATGAGAAATCTTACAGAATATTTAGTTTGCGCAGATCTCCTAGTCTTGGAGTTAAAGAACCAGTGAGACCCCGATTGAAAGAGAGATCCCTGCCACAAATATATTGGAAAGGTAACTAAAAGTTCTATATGAAGAATCTAAAGAAACAATTGACCAGTTCAGTGACTTCAGTCTTCTGAGCCGGCATACCAGAAAACTCCAACATAACTTACGAGCTATGTGATGCCTTTAAGTTATTGTTTAGAGACTGTGAAAATACTAGGGCTTTCTGTTATTTTTCTCTAAGGCCTTCTGCCTTTTTGGAAATTCAGAACCATGGTCCATAAATGTTGGTCTAATTCAATATGCAGCATACATTTCAAAGCTTGCAAAGCATTAACCATAAAAAATTTAATCTTAGCAAGGGACGACTTAACTACTTAAGAGAATTTATTATCTGCACATATTCATGAAGCCCATCATTTGGTTTGTAATCCTTTTCAAGTTTTTAAGTTGAGAAATATGATATCCAATACAACAAGAATAGAGGAGGAAAATATTGAGTAGTAGACCCGCTGAAATCAGGCAAGTAATATGTTTTTGCCCCCAAGATTGCTTTATAAGACAGTTTCTCTTTTAAAGGCTTATAAAGTTATAAGTTTGATTCCGACAAAATTCCCAACTTAAATTAACCAACTCAGAGTATTAGTCCCTTGGGACACTTAGCAAACTCCAAGATTGCCTTATCATATTTAGGCAGGGGACTTACATAAATTGCCAGGCCTAGTCAAGCTTTTAGACTAGTAAATAAAAACGAAATATATTATATGTAGATAATGTGTAAGTGTGCAGAAGAATGTATCTCATTAGGACTTTAATTAAAATTGGTACATGTAACTTGAAAAAAAAGCCTGATTCCATCATATGAAAGGTTCTTCACAAGTCCAACAAAGATTCAGTTTAAGGATCTTATAGAACATAGTGACGTAAGTTTTCTATTGATTAATTATATGCAGCCCAATGTAACCTAAGTTGAACTCCAGAATAGAGGATAGTCTGAAACGAATACTCACAAGGATCTCAACTCTGTTAGCCCACCGATGTCACCACTAAGTTTACCTCCGAGTCCCAAAGTGGATAAACCCCTGAAAAAATGAGTTGTACTGATTAAATTAAGCTAAAAAATGAGGATGAAATGATGTAGAAAAAGGCAATAATTGAGGAAAATATGCTCACAATGCAGTGATCCTTGAACTGTTGCATATTACCCCTTCCCATGGAGTAGCACAAGGATCATCGGACTTGCTCCAGCTAGGTGGTGTGTTTTTCCATTGATCTTTTAATGATTGGAGGGCTGCAGCTGCACCATTTTAACAATATTTCATTGTCTTTTAAGCAATAAAGTAAATAAACAATAGTATGCAGCTCCCATATTGATCAAGATTCGGACATATTAATTTATTAAGTACTAAAGGCCTGAATGTAAAACAGAAGATTTCAAAATACTAAGGAGAAGAGGAAGGAGGTTGCAGGCTGTACCATCTCCAGGATCAGTAAGAGACGAGATTAAGTAAATTTCAGCAAAACCCACCAGACAAAACAGCAACAGTCTGATTGTTGCCACCATGACTGCTTGCAGCAGATTCAAGTTAAATTTTGGCAAATATAGCCACAAAAAAGAGCAACGGGTCGTAGTGTTATAATGTTGGTCATTGCCTTGCACTAGCAGCTTGATGTTATCAGACACACTAGTGATTACAGTTGGCCCTCTTCTTCAACTTCCACTCATCTTTACTTATCTTGAAAGCTACTCTAACCATCACTTTAGCTAGTGTTTCTATGAACATGGCACGGTGCAAATTTGCTAACCCCGACTTTTGAAAAAGCGCCTTCATAATGACTTATGCCCTTTTGTTGGTAAATTTTCAGCTAATTGATTTTGAAGTAATCACCAAGTCACCTATTCTACTGTCACTATTTCAGTGACTTCAATCTACTGATTGATTATTCCGTGCAGTGCAACCTTGATTCAACTAAATTTCCTTTCAATCAATCAGAAAATGAGTTCTTCACCAAAATTGAACTCAGCTAAAACAAATCTAACCCAAAAAAAAAAAAAAAAATAATAATTATAACAGAGTTCTACTTGGAGTAAATTAGATGATTGAAAGATAATCTAACAAAATATCACACAATAATGTTATTTTACTTATAAAATTATCACAGTCAAGTTTAATTAAATACTTGAATTGAATATCAGACCAGACCAAATCAAGAAAATTTTAAAACACTAAATCAAACCTATTTTTTTAATTTAACTTGGTATCAAGTTCGACAGTTCGACTCCCTCGCTCCATTTACTCTGCCCAAGTCACTGTCACCGTCGCAGGCGGCCCCTTATATGCACCGGCATTGGGATTTCAATCCCAAATTTCGTACAATAACATTTTATCAGATCAGGAGGCAAAGGAAATTTTTAGATCTTTATTTTTGCAAATCATGGTTCTGTTCACGTTATAAAAAATAATAAAAAAAATATAATAAAAAAAAGAAAGTAGTATTATTAATTTATTATTATCCCTACCGACCTTATTAAAAGTCTTATAAATAGTGCATAGACATTTATATCCTTAAAAAAGTTCTTTAACATATTTGTCCTATTTAATTCAAAAACCATAAAAATTGTCTATTGAATCCCTAAATTTATTAATTACTAGATGGAAGCCCGTGCAATGCACAGTTTTTTCATCTAAGATTTTTAATTATTTGATTTATTGTATATTCAGACAAAATTACAAAAGTTTAATATTTATTTTTTTTACTATAATTTATAATGAATTTATTAAATATAAATAAATTGTAAATATGATATTTTTTACATTATATAAAATCTTTAACGTGAAATGATAAAATTTTTAATAATTTAAATTTATCATATCTTTTATTTCGATAGAATCACCAACCTCGTCCACAACCAACCTACTACATCAATGGATAAATTGAACTGTGAAATGTTAGCCAAATTGAAATTGATATATTAAATCTTTACAATTATATAAAATAAATCAATATATTTACCAATAAATGAAAAATTGTTGCGATATAAAATTAAATCTATGCATTGGAATTTTTTCATCATCTCCAAGAATAACCAAAGTCATCCATATATTAAGTATACAACATCTAATCGTATGCCATTACATAAACAAATAATCATTAAGTATCCTAAATAAATACAATGTAACTAATAATTACATATATAAATTTAAACATAAGATTTTAAAAATTATTCGGACATTGATGACCTAAAACTAACACAAAATTCGCTTGATGGGGTTTTGTATTGATACGAAATTTTATTTGTGTCGTATGATGTGTTAGATCTACATTTAAAAAAACATTTAGTAAATAAAATATAAACATATAATCGTTGAGTATCCCAAATTAATACAATGTAAGTAATACTTAGAAAAACTAATTTAAACATAGGATATTAAAAATTAAGCTAAAAATTACCCGACCATTGATGACCAAAAATTAACAAAAAATTACTAACACAAAATTCGCTCGATGGGGTTTTTTATTGATACGAAATTTTGTTTGTGTCGTATGATGTGTCAATTTATAATGGTAGGTATCACGAATTTTAATTTAATTATAATTATCAAACAATTTGTATTCTTATCATAAATACTATCAAAATTTATCTTATAATGATAGGTATCAAACTTTATTATAAGCGTTTATCATTTAAATATTTCTTAGTATATATTTTTTGGATTTCTTATACTCGTAGTATTGAATTAATAAATTTATCTTTTCCTATATTTTTACTTTATTTTTGATGCACGATTTTTTCATCTAAGATTTTTAATTATTTGATTTATTGTATTTAATAATTTCATACAAAATTACAAAAGTTTAATATTTTTTTTTTACTATAATTTATAATGAATTTATTAAATATAAATAAATTGTAAATATGATACTTTTTCCGTTATTTAAAATCTTTAATGTGAAATGATAAATTTTTAATAATTTAAATCCTAAATCATTATTCATTGTTTTACCATATCTTTTATTTCGATAAAATTACCAACCTCGTCCACAACCAACCTACTACATCAATGGATAAATTAAACCGTGAAATGTTAGCCAAACTGAAATTGATATAAATTAAATCTTTACATTTATATAAAATAAATCAATATATTTACCAATAAATGAAAAATTGTTGCGATATAAAATTAAATCTATACATTGGAATTTTTTCATCATCTCCAAAAATAACCAAAGTCATCTATATATTAAGTATACAACATCTAATCGTATGCCATTACATAAACAAATAATCGTTAAGTATCCTAAATAAATACAATGTAACTAATAATTACAAATATAAATTTAAACATAAGATTTTAAAAATTACCCGGACATTGATGACCTAAAACTAACACAAAATTCGCTTGGTGGGGTTTTGTATTGATATAAATTTTTATTTGTGTCGTATGATGTGTTAGATCTACATTTAAAAAAATATTTAGTAAATAAAACATAAACATATAATCGTTAAGTATCCCAAATTAATATAATGTAAGTAATAATTAGAAATACTAATTTAAACATAGGATTTTAAAAATTGAGCTAAAAATTACCCGGCCATTGATGACCAAAAATTAACACAAAGTTACTAACACAAAATTCGCTTGATGGGGCTTTTTTATTGATACGAAATTTTGTTTGTGTCGTATGATGTGTCAATTTATAAAGGTAGGTATCACAAATTTTAATTTAATTATAATTAACAAACAATTTGTATTTCTTAGCATAAATACTATCAAAATTTATCTTATAATGATAGGTATCAAACTTTATTATAAGCGTTTATCATTTAAATATTTCTTAGTATGTTTTTCTTGGATTTCTTATACTCGTAGTATTGAATTAATAAATTTATCTTTTTCTATATTTTTAATTTATTTTTTATCATTAAAATAATTTAATTTGTGGATTATAATCTACGTGGCATTAAAATTTTAGATATATCAAATCTAATTCGTTACTTTTATCTAGGTGGCGACATAATTTTTTAATTCAAAAATAAAATACAACTCTTTCTTCTTATTGGTTGAAATAAGTATATTTCTTACGTGACGCTTCGAATACTCTCCAAAAATGCCTACTTATTTATATATATTAGATTTGTAAACAAAACTTGTGTTTATTTCATTATTTAAAGTCATTTTTACTCCTATATTTTTTTTTTTGTTTTTCTACTTTGGAATTTAAATACTATATAATACAAAGTCATTTTTACTCCTATTTTTTTTTCTACTTTGGAATTTTATTATTTATAGAGTACAAAAAATTACGGAGAATATAATTGTGTGATGTCATTTTTTTAATAACGTGTGGCGTCTTGTTTAATTTATTCAATTTTGTCTAAATATATTTAAAATTTAGGCATTTATATTTTTTGGACTCGATATTTTTATCGTTCTCTCGCTAATTAAAGTAAATCTATTAAAGTTTTGAACATTTTTTTAATAGATTAAAGTTTTGAACATTGCATAGCTACACAACATCCAATTCATTCATCGTCTATATGCAAGTAGCTATAATATAATATCACGCAAACAGGATTAGGGCATAAAAGGCCACCGGTAATAATTTTCTTAAAGGGATAGAGGCTAACCCCAAGAAGGTACAGACGGTCATAGACATGCAGTCGCCCCGCACTGTCCGAGAGGTCCAAAACTTAACTGGTTTTCATGCGGCCCTGGAGAGATTTCTCAGCCGGGCAGGCGACAAATGCCTCTACTTCTTCCAGGCAATTAAAAAGAAAGCAATGTTTGAATGGGGGCCGGATGCTGAGGCGGCCTTCCAAAAGCTGAAAGAACACTTGCACTCCTTACCAAGGCTGGTCAGCCCTTTGCCCAAGGAAGTGCTCTATATGTATCTAGCAGTGTCTGACCATGCTCTAAGTGCTGCCCTCCTTGTTGAGAAGGACGGCTGCTAGCTCCCGGTCTATTTTGTCAGTCACGTCTTGAAGAATGCCGAGTTAAAATACCTCCTAGTTGAAAAATTTGGCCTTGCCCTCTTCATGGCAGTTAGAAAATTGAAGCCCTATTTTTGGCGCATCCAGTTGTGGTATACACAGACCAGACGATCAAGCGGCCCCTGACAACCATGGAGTCGTAAGGCCGAATGATCAAATGGGCGATTGAAATATAGAGCCTTGAAATCACATTTGAGCCAAGAAAAGCAGTGAAGGGGCAAGCATTTGCAGATTTCATAGTAGAAATGACTCGGCCATCTGATTATGAAGTTTTAGACCAAGTCTGGAAGGTCTATGTGTTAGGGTTTACTACTTCGATTCTACACAACTAGAATCAAAAACAATGGTGGACAAACCCTAGAATGTGTATAAAATTCAATTAAATACACAACATCAAATACTTATAGTATTATCACAAACCAAGCACTAAATTAACAATATAATTCAGAAATTACAACAAAAATAACACTAATGTGAATGGTTCTTTACTTGCCTATCTCCAAGCCGATATCCACCAAGAATCATGAGAAAAACAATGACCACGTGAGTCTTCTATATCGGATACTTGACTAAGGCGTGTATACACTTTCCTAAAGTAATAATTTCCCCCACCACGGTGCTTGGGTTGAAACCGGAAACTCACTTTGAGATACAATAGTCAACACCACACTTTAAGCACAAAGATGTGTGATAAGATGAATAAATTCTCAATCAATAAACTTAATGATGGAGAAATTAAAGAAGAGTTTGCAAGATTCTTCAATAAAATTGTAGAGAGAAGAGAGAGTTTTTTCAGAGAGGAATATTATGTTCTGTATCTCAAAACCAAAACATCGAAAACGATATAAAGGAAATAACCGCAAAAACCAAAGACGATCGAGGAGGTGCGGGCGCGCCACCACAGCAGCGCAGGCGCGGCACCCTGCAGCGCGGGCGCTCCTCGTTCTTCCAAAATTCCAACTTTTCCAGAAACCTGACGCGATTTTGTTGCGGTTTAGGCGCAGGTCGCGCCAAACCATGGCGCAGGCGCGCCATCCGGAGGCGCGGGCGCGCCTCCTAAGCTTTATAGATTTTCCAGAAACTCAGCGCGATTTTGTCGCGCTTTTGAAGCGGTCCGCGCTTGTCTTTCACAAGCGCGCTAACAAGTGGAGCGATCTCTCCACTACAACACTCTAAATTATCCAATACTATGTGGACGGGAGCTCCACTATG